CTCTCTCTCAAAAAAAAAAAGTAAAAAAAAAATTTTTTTTTTTAAAGATTTTTATTTATTTATTTGACAGAGAGAGAGCTAGAGCAGGAACACAAGCAGGGGGAGTGGGAGAGGGAGAAGCAGGCTTCCCGCCAAGTAGGGAGCCCAATGTGGGACTCGATCCCAGGACCCTGGGATCATGACCTGAGCCAAAGGCAGACGCTTAACGACTGAGCCACCCAGGCGCCCAAAAAAAAGTAAAATTTTTAACCCACCAATTGCATTTCCAGGAATTTCTCTGAAGGAAAAATAATCGTGAAAGTGGGCAAAATTAGCTGCATGAATATTCATCCCACCATTATTTAGAAAGCAAAATACATAGAAAGAACGTAGATGTCCATAGAGGGATACTAGATATCAATTTCATATAACGTTGTGGATGCAAGTTTAATAACTTTTAAAGAAATAGGTTATATGTGGGTTGGAAAAGCACATTACAAAATAGTTTGCATGATATAATTGCCATGATTTTGAAAAAAGAAATGCATCTGCATACACATACATACACGCGTGCGCATGCAGATTGGAAGGACATGCACCAACATGCAGCCTCTGGCCTCACTGGTAATTTTTTTTTTCTAAAAAATTTCTACAATTAACAGACTTGAAGTTTGAAATAGTAAAAAAATAAAAACAAAGATTTCATACCCACCACTCAAAAGTATAAGTGAGGGGAACTCAGAGACAATGACCAGTTAATGGGCTTTACACAATATAGCCGACAGCAGCAGCAGCAGACTATGCCCACGCCAGCATCCAGGCAGTTCTACTGGATACGGAGCTAAGAAGTGATGAAAATAGATTTTGAAGCGGGGGCCCTTCGCATGATGGGGCTCACATGCCACCCCAGTGGCCGACGGCACTGGCTTTAGTCCTTTATCAGATGGGCCCGGTAATTGCAACCAGAGAAATCAATGTCAGGCTTCATGTCTTAAGTCTCCCCAATGAGAAGAAAGTTACAGAGCTGCGATTCATTTTGTTGTTCCTGAAGGTCTGCAGCGAGTCATCGCCCAAAATTCTGAGCAAGGTTGTTTTTCTTCTGTGCTCTCTAGGTCTCCAGATCACACTAAGTTTGTGGGAAGTTTCAAAACTAAGCAAGACTTCATAGATCTGATTGAAGTAATTTATCGAGGAGCGATGAGGGGAAAACTTATTGTCCAAAGTCCTATTGATCCCAAGAATATTCCCAAATATGACCTCCTCTATCAAGACATTTAGCACATTTACTACTGAAAGTTGAAGACAAAGGCACATCTTGAAGCAGTACCTGAGCCCAGCTATGCTCTCTTCCTGGAGCCCTTCAGAAAGGTGCTCAGCGTCCCAGCAGAGAAGACGTCTGACAGGAAATACCCTGCCCCCAAGTAGAAGGCCACACTGGTACCATGATTAGCAGGGGTGGATGCTGAAATGTCTGCTCCCTGCAAACCTCAGAGCAGTCAAGACAACCGTGGTCCGTTTTCCCAGCGTGATTTTTTAAATCTATATTGTGCTGCTCCTTATTCCTTAAGATGATACAGAACCCTTCTAAACGTTGCCTAGTACAGTTTAATTTAACTGTGTATACTTGATACACAAGTAAAATAGAAAATCTGTTCCCACAAGAACAGAAACACTGCTTTTATACACTAGATGTACACACATACACAACGCGCGCACGCTCCCCCTCGCCCATTCCTCCGTGCAGATATTTATCGCGTGCTCTCACATCTCCAGTCCCGTTATCCCTGTTTCTCTTGGATAAATGATTCTCTACTGAGAGTGGGCAAATTTGTTTTATTTTGGAAACTTTCTGGCTGAGACTTTTAAAACAGTATCTCGGGGGGCACCTGGGTGGCTCAGTCGGTTAAGCGTCTGCCTTCGGCTTAGGTCATGATCCCAGGGTCCTGGGATCAAGCCCAGCATCGGGCTCCCTGCTTGGTGGGAAGCCTGCTTCTCCCTCTCCCGTTCCCCCTGTTTGTGTTCCTGCTCTCACTATCTCTCTCTCTGTCAAATAAATAAAATCTTAAAAAAATAG